TGCATCCTTTACTGATTGTTTGACTGAAACAATTTTTTACAAAAATCATTTATAATTCATTATTTTTACTATATGAATAAGTTTAAAAGTATTAGCGAAAATTAATCAAAACTTAGATATATTATTGGTACAGGGTTAAGAGAAAAAAAATCGTAAACTGTCCGTTAGAAATATTTAAGGTAAATAAAAAAAAAACTGACTAACAGCTATAAGAAAGTTCTGAGTAGTTATCTGTCTTACTGTACAAAAATATGTGACAATAAAAAGCTAACAAATGACATTAACAAAGTATTTTTATCAGAAACACTCCATTAAAATGCCATGCTATGATTAAAATAAAGAATAACAGCAAAAACAAAACAATGCTTTTAATTCTCAGAAAGAAAAAAAATTTGAAAAAATGACGAAATTAACTTGACTGAATATAATTTTAGAAAGATCAACAGTACAAAACTCGCAGTTCGGTATAAAGTAATCTAGTTTTAAATCTTCAAATGTAGCTTTTCCATTTATCTTCCAAAACAAAAATTTGCTAGCCGTATGCAAGTTTTAGAATTTAACGAATATGTGTAATTTCTGATGAAGTACAGTAAAAAGCACGCTTTTAGATTTTTCTTCATTAAATTTATTCAAATTCTGAAGAAAAAAAAACTTTGTCTGAAAATACTTTTCCAAAATAGTACTTTGCTAAATATTCGTCCTAACATTCAGCCTACCAAATGTTCAGCAAAAAGGCGGAATATTTGTTACATCCCTAGTTGTATGATATAGAAATTAGAAAACATTTGAAACTTTATTTATGTTCTTAATTTCTTTTAAGGTATGAAAAGGAATTAGATCTTCCGCAACTGCCTGAAATGAGTTTCGCCGGCAATCTATTGCGTGTAGAGCATTCAAAAGAGTTGGGTATTGAATTTAATGCTTTAAGTGCATTACAGTTAGTTGACAGTAAATTTGACAGTATGAAAGTTGCTGTAGCTGAAGCTTGGCAAGAGTCGAGGTAAGTGTTGCATCAATGTTTAAAATTGTATTTAAGTTAGTAAGGTGTAAACATTTGTGAAAATCTTTACATTATTTATACTTAACTTAATTAATTAAATTTTAATGTGCAGCACGCAAAAATATAACTGTCCACCCTGATCTAATGATTGGATCTTTATGTTCTAGGACTCAATCATAATTGTTCGAAGGGTGATCTCTAATGTGATTATTAATTAGTGCAGACAATATTTTAGTTTAGGAAATCAGACACGAAAAAACTTTCTTTGCATAAACATGTCTTTTATTTGCAATGGATTCAAATTTCTGACTGCCAAAATATAGGGAGTAGCCACAATCTTTCTAATATGGGCCCATTAGTTTGACCAGGAAAGCGATCCAAAGTTCGGACCCCTTAACGTTAATTTTGTGTATTTCCTCATATTTCAAGAACTATTTGAGTGAATTTAAAAAATTTTACACACAATGATAAAATTCATTTATCCAGTATTTATCATTTTATTTAATAACAGTTGAAACAATTTTGAATTGTAAGGTACACAAATTTTTACATAATTTTATAAAATGTAATTTCTCAGGGAAAAATCTGTGTCAAATCGAAATGATATTGCCTCAGAAATTGAATTTTAAATATACAACTTCTTTAAGATGTGATTTCCCAAGTATTATATGACCGATTTGCCTCAGATTTTGTATTTTGCCTTTAAAATTACAATCTATAAATAATAAATATTTCATAAAAGTTATTTTTTGCATTGAATTATCTTTGAATGAAGAAGTTTCGAGTTAATAATTGTCTGCAAACTTTTTTCAATTCGCTTAAATAGTTCTCAAGATATGGTGAAATACACACAAAAAAGAAAAAAATTAACATGAAGGGGTTTAAACTTTGGACCACTCTTCTGACCAATATGTGGGGACCATATTTCCTAGATTGCAGTTATCCCTTATATTTGGTCTTCATACTGGACACTGCACCCTCAGACGGCACCTATACATAATCGGTATTGAATCTAATTCTCTTCATCGAGGTTGTCATCTTGAAGAAGAGATTTCACAACATATACTTTGTGATTGTGAGGTCTATTCAGTGCCGGATTAAGCGTACGTAGGGCCCTAGGCCATTTAAATTTTTGGGGCCCTTAGATTAAATTTTTTTTTCCTCATGTATTTTTTTATTTATTCAAATATAAAAGTATTCATACATCTTTTCATTTAAGAAAGCATATTTAAAATAAAAATAAATAATAATAAATTAAATTNAAGAAAATTTTAGCATATATTTTGAAAAGAGGGGAGGAGTGGGGGAAGGAGGGGAGGGCCCGAAAACGGCTGTGCCTAGGGCCTACGAAAGGTATAATCTGGCTCTGATTGCAGTTATCCCTTATATTTGGTCTTCTCACTGGACACTGCACCCTCAGGAGGCACCTATACATGATCTAATTCTCTTCATCGAGGTTGACATCTTGAAGAAGAGACTTCATAACATATACTTTGTGATTGTGAGATCTATTCTGCTCAAAGTTTTAAGCATTTAGGGCAACATTGCATTAAGGCCTGGGAACTGCAAGTCATTACTGTCAGGTGTTTACTGAATTTCATTTCAGCTATAAGGCTTTCTTGTTAATCATGATTTATTTAGGGTTTGGGTACAATAGACCTCTGGTCAATGTTCCCTGCTCTTTAGAGCTGCCCAACCTCAACTCTACAAATGGTCTGTCATATTTCAGGTGTCAGAAAACTGAATTTGTGAAGAGAAAAAAAGTGTGTTTATTCAGAGAAAGTTTGTTTTTTCATAACTTATAATATCACGTGCATTAATTAATTAACCTATTTGAGGTCACCCCCTTGAACTCTTAAGATCGAGTCCTAAAAGTGAATATCTGATCATTAGATCTATAGTTATTCAAGGTGGTCTGCTTATTATTTTGCACTCTGTACATAAAGAATCTGAATGAATTGAATTAATATGATTATAATATAAACTATAATTTAGCAACTAGGTACTCATATTCAGTCAAAGTGTTCCTTTCAAAATATGTTATACTCCAAAAGTATAATTACTACTAGAATAATACATAAAAACCATATTTTAATTTATAAATTTTAGCAGGGACTGTATTTCAGAGACTCTTTATTTAACACTAACTGTTTTTCTTTTAAAAAAAAGGACATTTGTAAAATTACATAATTTGTGTTATTTGAAGCTTTCAGAATGCTTCATTGTAATACTAACTCTGTGTAATGAATAGATCTGTAAGTATTAGGAAGAGGGAGAAGAAAACATTTAATTATTCACTTCCATTTCAAGTTAGAGAAATTTGTATAATACAAAAATTTGTATGATATGGCGAAATTTGTATAATGAATAAATATGAAGGGGAAGAAAAACTTAAATTTCTGTTATCTAACTTCATTAGAAAGTTATGGCATGCAGGGATTGGTCAAGACTTTTTCTCATAGTCTTAACATGGAGTAATGTACACAGTATTTTTATCTAGAGAAATCTCAAAAATCATTGATGTGTATATTTTTTCTTGCCTTTAAATTAATCTTAAACATTCCTAGTATCTATTGTATGCATGTATAATATTAAAAAACCATTTTTGTCAAACATTTAGATTTAAAAAATGATTATAATTCTACTTATTGTTTTTATCAAGTTTTATTAAATGCCAAATTACATTATTAGTTTTTTGATAAAAAGTTAATCTTCTTGCTAAGAAATTATTTCTTGTCGAAAATTTTACAAATAGAATATTAAAAAAAGTTAAATTTTTTTCTTTAAAAAGCTTAATCACCACATCAACAATTTAATGTACATTGTTGTAGTTTTATGGCTCTTGACTGGGAAAAAGGAATTGAAACATAATGTAACAAAATGTTGGTGCTTTAGATACAAAGATTTTGTTGTATTTCAGCCTACATCAAAATATGCTATTTATTGGTTACTTCATAATGAATTATGCTGATTTTTTGTCAGTTTGATTTATGCATTGTATTTATTATTTTTGCTTTCCAATGAATCAATTTGAAGCTTGAGATTTTTAATATTTTCCTGGTGTCTTTATGTGTTCATATTAATTTTATAGTATAAATAGTATAGATTGTATTTGTATAAATTATTTACGCTCTATTGATTAAAACAGTACCATCTTATTTTGAGCTTAAAACTAAAATAAAAATCTGGATTGGATAGTTAGGTATTCTATGAATAAAATGTGTAGATTTTGTATTAAATTCTTTTTCAACAATCAATTTCAAGATTCTTTTAAAAAAAAATGTTTACCAATTTTATTTTTTGTAAAGTTATCAATAATTTACTTTTAATGAAACTCTTGTTCATTTTAGTTTTGTTATTAACATGTCTTTTAATCAAGCATTGCATTCTACTAAAAAAAATTTATAAATAATAGCAATAAAAATGCTTGTGCAAGCGAAAAGTTCCTAACACGGAGGAGCAACTCCAATGTTTCCAGTATTTTCAAAGCTATTCTCTTAACTCTCTAACTAAAGTTAGATAACATTGGGAACTCTAGAAAAACAAGATCTCAGTATAAATGTTAGTACAATTATGTAAAATTGTTATCTTCTTTGTAAAAAAAATTTTTATGAAAAGAGGTTAGTTTTATCCTTTTTATTCTTTTAACCATTTTCCCTTAGCATAACTAATATTCTACATTTACTGACTAGAAATTACTTTTTTTTTTATTATACTACTTGTTTTCATTATTTAATTTTCTCAATATGTTTTCGCAGATTTAAATTTTATTTATTCTTAGGCTTGATAACTCTGAAATAAAAGATGTTGTTAAACCATTTGATTGGACTTTCACTACACATTATAAAGGAACTTTAATTGGAAACAAAGAAAATTATACTGTAAGTTCAACAACTTTCATTGATGCATCTGGTATTTATATAACTTAAATTAATTATTCTGTTTTGTTGCTTTGCATTCTATTTTTGCTTTCTATTTTGAAGAAAAATATTGTGAAAATTATATAGCCAATTTACTATCGATGCCGAACTCTAATTACAAACATTGCTGATATAAGCAAAATAAATAAGTACTTAACTATGTGATCTTCCAGTTTCAAATATTTCCCATAATTTTGAAATAATGAACCAAAGAGTTGATTAAATTCAAATATCTGATGTGATTTTGAAACATGATTGTATTTTCTATGTTGAACTTTTATTCATATTGTATATATTTATTAAATAAAATAGTTCATTGTCAGTTCTAAATAATTTTGCATAGGTTAAAGTATTTTACCTCAACGTTTAAGATAACTTAAAATTTATTGAACTCATTACCTTGAAAGTACCTTAACTATATTTTCGCAAGTTTTTTTTTTTAAATTTAAAAAAAAAAATGGTCCTCTACTAAATAATTATAATTCAGGTAGTCAGATGTTCGGCTAAAAGTGAGTGTTTGATGAATTCCTGTATAAAATGTCAACTTGCATTTAGCTTACCTTTTTTTTATTTTTAACAGTTATAGCATATAATAAATGTTTTAAGTTCCATTATATGTTACTTGCTTACATATATATTATTGTATGCCTGTAAATTTATTTCTTAATAAGACACACTAGGCGAAACGTTTGAGCGCAGTTGGAAAAAAGCTTAATTGATACATTTACATGTAAACAATTATATTGATACATTTAAAAATTCCTCCTTCTTTTATTCTTGTTTAATATTTAGTTAAACTGACATTGAAGCTACTAATATTAGACTCTTGTTTACATATTTGTTATGTCGTAAAAAAATACCTTTGTAAATTATATTATTTCTTTACAGGTTACACCAACAGATGAACGTATTAATATTGAAAAATTAAAAGTCAAGGAAAAAATACTGTTTTATGAAGATGTAATGCTATTTGAGGATGAACTCGCTGATAATGGAACAGCTCATTGCTCTGTCAAAATCGTAATTATTATTCATTTATATCTTTGTAATTATTTTCAAACATTTAGAAAATTCATTAAAATGTCCAAGTTAAAAGCATTTAGACAATATCGTGACTAAAGGGTCATAGAGGTTACGACTGCACAATTTTGAAACTAATGGCATTGTGGTTGCAATGTGATCAGCATTGCACACCAGCTGCCTTTACTTCCAAGCAAACTGTTGCACATCAAGTAACTGCTTCAAATACCATTATGAGTTCCTGCATTTATCTAAAGGGCTATTGTAGCCAGACCCGTCATCAAGAAAATGAAATAAAAGCCATAAAACTTAGCAAATTAATTTTTCTAAGAAACAAAAGGGACCCAAGCTGCGAATCTATTGCAGAAGAGATAATAAAAAATGCTCACGATTTTAGGCTGTATTATGAGCATAAAAAGTTTATTTTCTCTATTCATCCCTATATACGTTAAAAAATAAAAGCACCTTTATGCAATTAATTAGCAATTAGGATACAAGGAAATAGAGGTGCAATATCAAAGAAAATGAAATGTTAGTTGTCTTTTTCCTAAAAAACAAAGAGTACTTTTATGCTAAAGAAAAAGGTTTTGTAAATTTCTACAAATAATTAATTATTTGAACTAGGATATGAATGCAATTTATTTAGACCGGCATTTGAATTTTATAGATCAGCATTTAACAACTTATTTAGAATCAGCAATAATTAATTTTTTTTTAAAATTTATATTAAGTATGTTGTTT